TTTTTATGATATATATAAGTTAAATTCTCATGTTTAGTTTTACTTTTTCATAATAGCAGATTATCCTAATAAGTCATGTGAACTTCTTGGACTAAAAAATTACGATTGGAGTTGGATGCGAAACATACAATAAGCATTATTCTTCCTGAAGATCCTATTCTTGTCGAAGTTAAAAAGTATTTACATATGTCAGAATCTATTATCGAAGATCCTCTACAATGGTGGAATAAACTAATAAATAAAATTGTCACTGCCGAATTTGTACAAATTGGTACGCTGCATTTATGCCATACCGCGATTACAAGTTCAGCATCTAAATGCGCGTTTTCTTCTGCAGGTTTGCTTATCACAGCAAAACGTTCTTCGTTAAAACCATCAAAATTTAATAAAATATTATTTATTTACGGTAATTTCAAATTAATAAAACATATGTATTTAAAGTCAGTAAAATAAGTTTTACATTAAGTACAATATATTATTCATATTATTTATACACCTTAATATGTGAAGAAATATTTAATAAGTAAGAGAGAAAGAAGTCTGATATCTGATGGTTATATACAGTGAATTACATTTTATTTTTGTTACGTATGATAGTCAGGAATAACATTTTAAGATAAATTTTATTTTCTTTTGTGAAAGAAAAAACATTAGTAAGGCTAATGAAATGATCGTATTTTGAAAACAAGTGCTGAGTATTTATTGTTTGCTATTTTTATTCATTCCGATAAATTATCACTCGCTAATTTCGCCGCCGCTGAAAAAGAAAATTATTATATATTATATATATATCTGTTTCTATATATAATCCATATTTGTAACTTCGTAATTAATACGATATTTACAATACGTGTGCACACGCAAAGCTTTTTCTTCAAATAAACAATCACAACAATTCACTACCATTCACTATTGCGCTGTTCATAGAGCCTGTAAACGCTAACGCTATTAATGCACTACCTTGGAAGGAAGAGCGTTGGTAGCAAGCAGTTATGACGTATAAGGCTGAAATCCCATGGTGCGGAATGGAAGTGCGGAATAGAGAATGCGTCATAGACTCAGCCAATCAGAGCTATGCCGCAGTTTTTACGATTTTTCCTGCATGCGTTCGTGGCGCAGTTGCGTTAAAGATTTGCGTCATAGAGCCATAACCTTAGTATTTGATCTTGAGGTTAAATTTGCCCTCTGTGCACAAGGCATTTGCACCTTACCGTCCTCACCCGAGGACACCAACGAAAAAAATCCTCTCTTGAAGTTAAACCAGTTAATTTTTTTTATATTTGATAAAGTAATAGTTATATTTGATAAAGTATTTTTAATAAAATGGATGACTGTGAGTCCAATCAAATACGTGATAATGTAAGTAAAAATGGAAGTGAAATTATTTACATATTATTATAATATATTAAGATATAGATTAAGCAATTATTTTTTTGTAGTATTATCACTGCTTTTACTGCAATTTTTGGCTGCCGAAAAAGAATTTTGATTACATGACCCATATTCATGTTTTGCGCACATGGATTTGAAAAATGAAAGTTTATATGTAGATGAAAAAAATCGTTTATTAAAAGGTTAGTTTTATGTTTTGCTAAATACAATTTGATCGAAATTTGATACTACATTATTATATATGCATACATAACAAATATCATAAATATATGTTATACAATTTGTTTTTAAAATATAGGTAAATTAAACTGTACTGAAAATCCTTCAGAGACAATGCCTGAGGAGGTAGAATTACTACAAGAATCTGAAGTACATCATAATGATGTTGATGTAGATAAAGATGACCAAATGGAAGATAGTTACGATGATCCACCAGAAAAGAAAACATGTCGAGGCAAGCTAGACAGGCGTTGGCTCGAAGCTGATGAAATTTTAATTAGTGCAGTTCAGATGAGACCTTGTTTGTGGAATTACACAATAGATGTAAAAGAGGGAACTACATTAAAAGTTCGTGATGCATGGTGTGATGTTTTGAAAGAACTAAAAGGTAAGTAAAAAATAAACATATTAAAATTTTTTGTTATTGAAAACTTATCTATACATTTCATAAATAAGAAATATATTTTCAGATTATAAATTCACTGTAGAAGATGTGAAAAAGCGTTGGAGAAACCTACGAGCCTCTTTCAATAAAGCAAAGAAGAAGAAAAATACATACTTACCTAGTGGTTCAGCAGCACCTACAACAAGTGATGATAGTAATTTTCGACATTATGATAACATGTTGTTTTTAATTGATAAACTGAAGTCCAGGCGGTAAGTGTAAAAACTATAAGAAATAATTTGTTAAATAATAGACAAAATATTTCATAAAATATTTATTTTATTTTTTAGCACAACAAGTAATATTTCACAAATGTCACATTCATGTGACTCAAATGAAGCTCCTTCAACTTCCACTGCTTTAGATGTTGATGCAATTGAAGAATCGATGATAGACAATGACTCTTTGGGTACATCAGGAAGAAATAGCAATATTTCTGAAAACAATAGCTTCATCGACCACACTAAACGTAATTTTGCATGACATTTTTTAAAACTATGTGTTTACATTGTCCGTTTTTCAGGAAATAACACAGACGACACAGTAGGTTCGTTCTCATCACATGCCCCAACATGCTTCTTTTCACTCCAATGCGATCCTATTGGATAATTTGGATAAAAGCTCTAATACGATCGCACGTGCATAACGCAAATTCAACCAATCGAATTTCTTATGCGTATGATTATGCGTCTATGCAAGTTTGTCTGCCATGAATAGGCCCTTATGCTTAATATTTATATGTTATGTTTTAGGTCCAAAGACTAAACATGAAGACAATGAATTTCAAAAGCAGTTAGTTAACATTATATCGGAGTGTAATAAACCTGCTAATGGATTTTTACTTCATTTGGGTGACATTTTACAAAGATTGCCGTAAAAGAAAGAAGAACTCTTGAAAAAGAAATTTTAGATTTAGCTTACAAAGCGGAAGAAAAAGCACAATTTATTACTTCATAATTTAATACTCATTCATCACTGATCCTGGTTAAAAATATTGGTCATCCAGCTAGTTATTTTCAATCGCGACATTAAAATTATATTTATGATAGGACTTGTGATTTAAAAAGTATATAATATATTTTTATAACATTCTTTATAAACGATTATTTTCAATAAAACCTATAATTTTTTACATGTTTTCTTATTTATTTCAATTAATTACATAGAAAATATTATTAAATACATTAAATAATAGTATCTTAATATTTTAAAATATATGTAAACAGTTTTGAGTCATAAATGTATGTCACAATGTCACAAATGTACAAAACATTAGAAAAAGCAAAAAAAGTCATTTATTATATATATATTATTATTATTATTATAAAATTCTGCAAATCATTATTTTCAAAATTTAGAAATCATTGTTTACAGCTTTTTCCCATTGCCAATTTACAGCACCTTCTTTCATAAAATAATTAGCGAATCTCTCTCTATAGACGCGTGATAAATTGCTGGAAGACACATTGTTTGCTTGGTTTATTATATTTTGAATAGCAAGCGATGGTTGTTGTCTCTCGTTATCTGTGCAATTTAAATATCTTCTATCTCTAGAATGCTTGACAAGTTCTTTAGTAATAATAAAATTATGTAAACATAGAGTGGCTAACACCATTATTTCAGCTTTCTTCACATATGTATTAATAGGTCTTCGGAAAATTCTCCAGCGTGTCACAAGGATGCCAAAAGCACTTTCAACAACTCTTCTTGCTCTGCTTTGACGGTAATTGTAAACCTTTTCTTTTTAGGTCTAATTGTGAACGTCTTGGATAAGGACGCATCAGGTAAGGTGATAATGGATACGCTTCATCACCTATCAAAACGAATGGCAATTCATACTGGCCAATTTTAGAAGGTGAGGTACACTTAAAGTATTTCATTCAAGTTTTGCTTTTAATTCACTGTTAGCGAATACTCCTGCATCACTACATCGACCTTCCGCTCCTACATCAACCAAAATAAATCTGTAGCGTGCATCAGAAACAGCAGTAAGATTTGTTACCCATTGGAATTTATCTTTAGAATTTTGCGCGAACGTCTTAAGTTTCTGTTTAACAGAGACTCGAATACGAATGTGAGACAGAATGAAGAGGAAGTTACTCCTTTTTTCACGTTACCGTACGTCCCAACGATCACTGAAAAGCTTAGGAACGCCACAAGGGATTTGAATGTGAGACTGTCTTATAACAGCTTAAATAAAATGCGTACATTCATCAAGGCGCACAAGGATAATCTCCCATGGTCGAATAAATGTAACGTGGTTTATAAGGTGAATTGTAATGATTGCGACGCTTCTTATGTGGGCCAAACGGGTAGGCAATTGCAAACAAGAATCAAGGAGCATCGTAATCATATTAATTGGAGTACTCCAAATCATTCTGTCATAACTGAACACAGATTGAAATGGAATCATGATTTCGATTGGAATGGCGTTGAAATCTTAGATAATGAATCCTATGGTTATAAACGTTTGATTTCGGAGATGATATGCATAAAAAGGCAGGCGAACGGTTTGAATTTACAGACCGATGCGGAGAGTTTACCGGACGCGTATTTAAATGTAATCGAGAGACTGTCTAAGATTTAGAATAACTTTATGCGAGAGTTTATCCCCTCCTCTGGTTTATACACCAGTCTCTATTATGTTAACCTTCCCACCTATGCCTCACTCATTCGCGACGTTTCGAACCGTGAAGTTTGTTGTTACAATGCGATATTCCGGTCTGCAATTGCTCTGTAAGTAAATCTATTAGTCATCGGATTTTAATATAATTTACGCCTCTACCACATTGCGACTCCGTTTGATGATACAGGTAGGGCTTTCGAATCTTTCTTACCCACCTGGTCTTTCAACCTGGCGAGATTATTCCTAAGATGCGAGGGATGCGGAGCGAGCGTTTACCGGCGTATCGGGAATTCTGACAACGGTACATCCATAGGATTTCAATCCTTGTTTTTTAAATTTTGACTGCGTCTTTTATGCTTTGTTCGTCTATTGACTACGCCTTATACTCGACTTCTTTTTATCATCTTTGTTAATCTTCGTATATGTAACTTTTAACGCTGAAGAGGACACAAATAATGTGTCGAAGCGTACGTTAATATATATATATTTATTTTTACAAATTATTTGCGCTTTGATTACCGCGCCTGGCTCTAATTGCCTCTCCTATTCACATTGCAGTAAGATTTATACTATGAGTTTTTTTGTAATTAAAGTATGTGGAACCGCTGTGAGGTGGAGCCTATAATTACAATTTTCAATTATGTTATTGATATTATATATATATATATATATGTATATGTGCCAGACTAGAGTCAAGCTCAACAGGGTCTTCTTTCCCCGCTAATTTTTCCAAGCCCGTTCCCTTGGCAGTGGTTTCGCTAGATAGTAGATAGGGACAGTATATATATACATATATATATATATATACATATATATATATATATGTTCGGCGCATCGCCTATCCCCTTGTACAAATCGTTGTAAATATTCGCGTGATACCTTGTGTTGTTCTTATTACTTATGTTCTCATTACTGTATTCGGTCGTATCATGGCCCATTATTTTAGCGAGACGTCGGTGGATCGCGATCAGCAAGTACAAGCGACTCACCAGTCGGTGCTGCCATCGCCATCCGCCGACGACCGCAATGCAAATCAGAAATACTACTCGCTCGCGACACCTTCCAGGAACGCGAGCCGGAAGACAATTCTCGTGCAGACGTCGCACGGCACGGATCACTTGCCTCGTCGACGGCCGCTTACGGCTACACACACACACACACACACACACACAGAAAGTGATTCGCCAAATCGTCTCAAGAGACGCTCTTGATAACGTGGAGCCGCACGGTTTCGTTTGCCTGCCTTGCTTGCCTGATTACCTGCTTTGCTTGCCTGATTGCCTGCCTTGCTTGCCTGATTGCCTGCTTGCTTGCTATTGCTTTGCAAGGATCTTGTACCGAGACGGGGCACAACGCAACGGACAACGGCGAGGAACCGGAGCCGGCCATCCACGGTGAGTCGCTTACGATTACGCTTACGCTATCGCTCAATCTCATGCACGCGTTGCATGCGCCCAGCGCGCCTTCGCCGTACATTAATCGTGAGGGGACCTACCGCCCCTCTGGTCCTTTGGTCATCAAAGCTTTCGACCATTGTTCCAGCGGGGAACTGACACCCCCGACAAAACATTGGTCCTTCGATTTCTGCCCATTCTGCACGCCACTCTGACACGCTTGGCTCTAGAACACCGTGACCGCCGGGGCACGAAGCCCTCGGGGCACGCGCTCCGCCTAACCGAGTAAGTAAGGAAACGATGAAAGTAGTGGTATTTCACCGGCGATGTTGCCATCTCCCACTTATGCTACACCTCTCATGTCTCCTTACAGTGCCAGACTAGAGTCAAGCTCAACAGGGTCTTCTTTCCCCGCTAATTTTTCCAAGCCCGTTCCCTTGGCAGTGGTTTCGCTAGATAGTAGATAGGGACAGAATATGTCGTTTGATTTAACGTGCGGCACCTGCTCGTGGAGCCTCATCCACACGTCCCCCATGGGCGCGGGATTGGGATACGCCCAATCAGCGCGTACCGACCGAGGTCGATACTACCAGTGCACCGCAGGATTACAGGATCCCGCGGCAACCCACTGGTCGGGGCGAGCGACTATCCACGCTCTACCAGCTAAGCAGGCTGGCACCCGAGCTGTGGGGACGCAAGCTCACCCGTCGGACACCCAAGTTTGTGAACTCGGGTATCCTAGCCAGCATTTGGCTGAACCACTGCCACCACGATGGTCCTACCCGCGACCGGCAGGAGCAAGCTCCTTGGGCGACCGGTCCCCGTGGTACCAGTCTAGATCACTGGTCGAATCTTCGCAGCCGAGGCCACTCCCGGTTGGGTTTCCTGCAGACCCGGCCCCGGTAAGCCGCATTCGCACGTCTCACGCATTCACATTCATTCTTCGCTGAAACACACAAGCCGCAAACCTGCTCAGACTCTCGTATCTTTTCTTTCGCTCCAATACCTCGCTCACGTCCACTCTACCATCCTCACTCACCCTGACTCCCCATTCGTCCAAGTTCCTAACATCCTCATACATTTCACACTCAACTATCACATGCTTCCAGTCCTCGCACTCAGCACCACACGCACAACTTTCAGTCTCAGACAATCCCCTTTTATGCAGAAACTCATTCAAACTGCCGTGAACCGTCAAGATATAGCCGAGCCATAGGCTCGGCTCAAATCCCGGACAAGCCTCGGCAAGCCTCACATCCCGTACAAAGCCATGTGTCACTCGTCTTTCGCACCGTTATCCCATTCACTCTGCCATCTTTCATACAGCCTAGCATTTAGCAACTCCACTCTCGTCCACATCTCTCGCTCTCACTTCCTCTTCGCTCACAACACCTCTTTTACCCAATCTCCAGCCATTCTTAATTCTCACAGTCATACCTCTTTTCACGCACTCCAGGTCCCACGGAAGACCACCCATCAATACCTGCATGGCCTCCGTGGAGACCGTTCTACAGACACTCAAACAGGCGCTCATCGCCACTCTTTGGCACCTGTTGATCGCCACTCGCGCATACTTGTACTCCATGGCTTTGTACCACACGCTCGCACCATACATAACACACGCAGCAAACAAACCCTTATAGATCACACGCCATGCTCTCTTTCGCAAACCCCATTCGCTCCTCATCACACGTCTCAAGTTTCCCACCACGCTCACACACTTCTGTCTCATACGCTCCAGGTGCGGCTTAAAACTCATTCGCTCGCCCATCCACACACCCAGATATCTCACACACTTCACATACCTCACATGCTTCCCATTCACACTAACGCTCGGGTGTCTCGTTTCCGACATATTCCCTTTCAGGAGCATCATCACCGTTTTGCTCTCTGAAACTTTCACACCGACACTCGCACCCCATTCGCTCACTATCCTCATCCACTCGTTCCCCTTTCTCTCCAGATCTGCCCGGCTCTGTCCTTCGACAGGCACGAACAGATCATCGGCATACGCCGTCGCCATACATCCACGTCTGCGGAGTTCCCACAGGAGCTTATCCATCTGTAGGACCCAGATTTCTGGGCCACCGATGGACCCCTGCGGTGCGCCCCGCAGCACTCTCTTCCACACTTCCTCATTCATTCCTATCATACATGCCCATCTCTCATCAAAATAACTTCTCCACAACCCAATCTCTTCACATTCTTCCTCACACAGTTTCTCAATCACACATGGCCATTCCAGGTTGTCGAATGCACCCTGGAAGTCCACAAAGATTCCCAACACATACTTGTACTCGGATCCACTCACGCACTCACGCACGCTATTCCACGCACTCTCGGTCGAACGTCCCTTCACAAACCCGTGTTGTGCCTCACACATTCTCCCACTCATCAATCGCTCCAGCCTATTCACCATCATTCGCTCCAACACTTTCCCAAGCACAGACAACAGGCTGATCAGTCTGTAAGACCCGGGGTCCGACCGCACTTTCTCTGGGGACTTCAGCAGTACAACCACTCTCGCTTTCTTTCACACCTTTGGAAAGCAGTTGGTACTCAGACACACATCATACACTCTTTTCAGCCATCCCGAAATTGCGCGCCAAACGGCACGCACCATTTCCGCCGTAATTCCATCCAACCCGGGTGCC